ATTCATAAACAAACTCATATTTACATTAATAATAATAATAAAATACAATTACTTAATCAAACGGTCGATGCAAGCAGTAAAATATAATATGATCGTGTATAAAAAATAATCTTTACTAAATTATTAAATTAATAAACGTTTTGTTCCAAGGATTCGGATCTTCTTGAGTAAAATAATAATAAATTGCAGTACACTCGTGAGTTCTTGCGCAGCATCCTTAAAATAATTGAGCACAACAAATTGGTTACTAAGATATTTAAGAAAGGATACTGTGTACTCACTTTCTTAAATATCTTATATTACAAAATTTGTTGTGTTCAATTCTTTTAAGGATGCTGTGAACTCACGAGTATTGTATCTGCAATTTATTGTTATTTTACTCGAGAAGATCCGAACCCATGGACCGAAATGTCTATTAATTTAATAAAGATTACTTCTCATACACGGTTATCTTGTATTTTACTGCTCGCGTGGGACTTTTGATTTATCATGTAGCAATTTCACGAACGAATCATTGATGAAAAATTANTTAATTTCTAAAAAAACTAAAATTGAGACACTACCAATTTAAAACATTTGTGTCGATTTGTAGGAAAGATGTCGTTTTCAATTAATACTATTTTATCTGTGTAGAATATTTTAATTTTTTCTGTGTTGGGACTTAGAATATTTAAAATTTTCTTTGTATTGGGACTTAAAATATTTTAGACCTAGAATAGGTTTTTTGTGCGTCTGCATTTAGGATACCTTTGCGTGTACAAATCGAATCTGACTTCGGGTCTGTTTGATGGTTAGAGTACATAATAATAATAATAATAATAATTCTCCTTTTGTACCTCGCACACTGGTGTAACAATTAGTTGATTTTGCATTATTTTGATTACTGTTGGTTATCACTGCTCACCCTACGTCACTTCATCTCAAAAAACGATGAAGGTGCACACGAGTGCACACTCGTCATTTCCTGTTACTCCGGTAATACAGAAGGGGCACACGAGTGCNCACTCGTCATTTCCTGTCATTCTAAAAATACGAGAAAGGTGCACACGAGTGCACACTCGTCATTTCCTGTTATTCCGGTGACGAGGNAGGTGCACACGAGTGCACACTCGTCATTACATATTGTTCCGTAAACGAAAACGGCTGCACACAAGTGCACACTCGTCATTTCCTGTCATTCTAAAAGTACGAAGTAGGTGCACACGAGTGCACACTTATGACTACCTGGTCCTGGGTACTACGGTGAGAACGGTGCAATAAAGATTGCACGCTTCTTTGTTGTATCTATTCCTAAGCTCCCATCAGCCAGAGGTCCCGGCTCCGCAAAGGAGGCGGCGGACCCAACGTAGAGGCAGGGGGCACCACCTGTGGGCCCTTCCAAAAGCCTACGCGCGCACTAAGTTTTTCTACACCGCGGTGCTTGANACTACCCGTGCCCATGTGACCAGTACGGAAGGACGCGCCGCGAACCCTCGCACGACAAATACAGTAGAACGCGCCGTTACTCGGGTCCCGCAAATTATTGGTAATGACAGGTTTACGGGGCGGATTACGATCACCCGACCCACATAGAGTTTGATTCCGATTACCCGCGGTAGGACTGTTCACCAGGCTACGGTTTTCTTGACGGATCCACGGTTTTGGGTGTACGTGGAAAAGCGACGCAAGGTGTTGTACCCAACTCGGAAATTCATTCACAAGCATCGGTCTAACCGGGCGCCGTCAACAAAGGTCTCGTGCGGAAAACAGTAACCNGCAATGTACATTTAGCATACATAGGCCTACCTATGTGCATCGGACGATCGCCACCTCTTAGTAAACCCGGCGAGTATATCAAGTTGACGGAAGCGTTTGATTTCTTGCAGAAGTATAACCTTGGCCGNTGCCGGCTGGTGGCACAGGCCTATCTTAAATTGTTAGACAACAATATCTACTGTACGTGGTGTACCCACAAAACAGACGACGTCCTGATACCCGAGGCCGTGATAAGCCACAGTATCTCGATTGGGACCCAGTCCACGGATGTGTTGTGCGCCAGGTGCTCGCGAAATTAACNATACATTGACCGGTAAAAAAGTGCGTGAAGTGCCACTTTGCTTACATCGCTTTTATCGCGTAACACACCGACGATTTTTATACGCTCTAGGACTCTACGGTATACATAATTGACGGCCGTTTAATTTAATCCGGAACAGACGACCCTACCCCAGCTCCCGGTCATATCTTCATCCTCCGCCCCGGTAAACCTTCAGGGTTGACCAAAAAAAAGGACGTACGTCCGGTAGGTGTAAACGGCCGCAGGACCGTGACCCGGTCTCTGGGACGTAACACTTGTTATGTTTTTCTGCGGTTTTTTTTCCGATATTCTCAGTAACTCACACCGCTGCCACCAAATTTTTATCTCTTTATGTTTCGCCTAAGTGCGCAAAGTCACGGTCCGACGACACTGTTTACACTTGCTGAACGTACGTTTTCCATTTTTGATCAGCCGACTGAGCTTTACCGGGGCGGAAAATGAGGATTTTGGTCGGGAATTGATGACTGGAGTGACAAGTACTGATTGTTATTTGANTACCGACCGTTACGGACTGCGGCTTAATTATCGACAATTACCGACTGTTGTGTGNTTACCGACAGTTACCGACACTTATAGACAGTTGCCTGACTACCGACTGTCTCTTGGATTACCGACCGCTACTTTATTANCGATGTACTTACAGACTTAGTTACCGAGAGAATTACCGACTTATGTATTCTCCAAAATAGCAAAATTACTTATTCTTAGTTCTATTTTCTGAATACAACATCTTTCGTCTTTTCTCTGTATATACTTTAACTCGCGGGTCTGATGGCGGAATTGTTGCCGAGTACACCAACCTTGGGTTGTTGAGTTGTATTGACTTCTACCTTGGTCTAATAATAATGCGATGATTCCCTAAGTTTGTTATACTTGTTATAAGTAACGCACGGAAAGGATCTAGCAAAATGTTCTCCTGTATTTGTTGAACGCGGAAGTCTGTTCACGTCGCGNCCTGCCGTGTTTGTCGACCGGGTGTTGNTTNTCTCTAAGTATAACGAGTCGAATTGTCCATCACGCGCGTAATTCCTTAATANATTTCNCAANNGATAGTTTCTGCTTCCCCGACGCNTGCGACGTTTTCTCTGGCGGCTTGGAGTAACTGGATGGTGTGTCTTTTAGGAACAGATACACAGAATAAGCATGCAATCAAGTCGCACCTCTATNNCTCTTATATCTTGAAAAAAGGTGACAAGCGTGCACTTGTAAGCACCTTTNTTGTCTACGGAACAAAAGAAAACGACAAGCGTGCACTCGTGAGCACCTTTTTTGTCGACAGAATGAAAGGAAATGACAAGCGTGCACTCGTGAGCACTTTTCTTGTCTACAGAACAAAAGGAAACGACAAGCGAGCTCTCGTGAGCACCATTCTTGTATACGGAATGTAAGGAGACGACAAGCGTGCGTTCGTGACGCACCTCTCTTGTTTTAAGTATAGGACTGACGCGTGAGAAGCCAGAATCTACCTAATATGTTACGTTCCAGAAGCCGTGTCACGGTCTTGCGGCCGTCTACACCTGCCAAACGTACGCCCTCTCTTTTTGGTCACCCCTGAGGCTTTACCGGGCCGGAGGATGAAGATATGACCGGAAGCTGGGATAAAGTGTCACGTCCGTAGACATGGTGAGCCCCGGTTGACCCGATTTACCTATTCCTTTTTTTTTCTTTTTTCTCTTTTTATCTTATTTTATTATCATGTAGTGTCAGTAGTATCTCCCATTGTCAAGCGTCCGCAAAGACGGTAAACTACGGTCCAAACCACTGTGTCATCACCTAAACTTAAGAATTTAATACTCCAAGTCGCGTTTTTTACTTACCAATTTTGCAAGTGTCGTCTTCACTGTTGTTTTGCATTCATTATGTTCATATACTTGCTTGTAACATATTCTACACGTTTTGTTAGCTTACAAGTAAAATTTACCTGTTGTATACTCTGACAAAATCTGATTGGTCGTTTTCCTAGTACCAACCAAACTGATTGGTCAATGATTTTATCGTGGATTCCGACCTGTCACGTCCTTGTAAGTCAGTTCCCATAATTCTTTTTCTACAAATCGGCCGAGAATTTGGTTAAAAAACCGTAACATCATCGGAGTGGTCAAAACAGTTTTTGTCAATTCTAAGTTTCTAGACGCCTACAAGTTGCAACAACTGTTGCCTCCTTCACAATTCGTTCAGAAAATTGGTCCCAATTAGTAAACTCATATAATTGGCTGATTGCCTGGTGACAAACAACCTGATTGGCTGAAGTGCAAAAACTTGCCGTACTAAATGACACATCACGTAGCAACTACGCCAAATTAGCCTTCTCTTGAAATTCATGTTTTAAACCATTGAAAGAAAAAAAAGAAATCTCACTGGTTAACCAGTTTAGTAAACCGCGTTTGATTGGTCAATAATTTTGTTGCAATTTTTAGACTCTCTAAACGGCTGCAAGTAGGGTCCACTAAATCTTTCTCGAAAGTACGTTCAGGAAAATGGTCAAAAAATCGAGAAACGATTTGATTGGTCAGTAGCTTTATCACTTCTTTTAGTTTCTTAAACCCGTGTAAATACCACCCGGTAAATCTCGTTCAAAAATCATTTCAAAAACCCGGCTAGAAATCAATAGGTGTTCTGATTGGTCAAAAGAGTCTTCCTTAAAAACGCCGCCTTTAGTTTAGGCTTTGCGCTTCTTGACCATAGCATGTAAACTTTGAATAGATGCGAGTACAGTAAAATAAGCCGTAAGACACAACGTTAAGAGATAACTCATGCCGGTAACGGGTTCTACTAATACCTACCGTTCCTTTCAAATACCAGAGTTGGTAATAGTACCAGTACCATCATTTTACCATACTTAAACGTTTGCCACGGTCGGTAAATTAACAATTGCCAAAAACCAAGTTTTCGAGTAAATTATCAACCCGCATGAATTAGCATCATGTTTATGTTACCGTTAGTCATCAGTTTAGTAACTCAGATCAGAATCAGGCGGCAACCCGTAAGTTGCAAAATTAGGATTTTAGAAACTAAAAGAGATACAAAAAAACGGTTTGCACCATCGTCTTCGGCGTAAAAAACTGCACAATACCAATGTGCTTTGTCTAACTATTGTTGGTACCCAACGATTGTTTGAATAATTAAATTTATCAACTTTTTATTCCGTGGTATTTTGCATCTAAGTACTAGAATAAAGAATTATACAACTGTTTTTCGGTAACTTTTTTGGTTTGCAAGATATTTAAATTGTTTATTTTCACTCATGGCCATAATGTACAAATTAGTAAACATTGAGGCTTGGTGGCATAAACTTTACTTTACAAGTAACCTCACAAAGAAAAGTCAAATGGGGTCAAATCCGGAGACCGAGGTGGTCACGAAATGACCCCTTCGCCCTTTCCACCTATTTTGAAAGACCTCATTCAAATATTGACGGACAATGACACCATAATGAAGTGAAGCTCCATCTTGTTGGAAATAAATTTCATCCATATTTTCACCAGCTATGTCTCAAATAGCTCGAACAATTTGCTCGCAAAGCATGACTGTGTATACCTGTACTGTCAAATTGCTTTCAATAAAGAAATAGCCGACTAGTCTACGATTAAAAATACTGTCACGTCCCGACATTTTTACTTGCATCTCGTCCGCAATGACGTTAAACTACGACGACAACTGTCGTCCGCAATGACGGTAAACTACGACGACAACCGTCGTCCGAAATGACGTTAAACTACGACGACAAACGTCGTCCGCAATGACGTTACACTACGACAAGAACTATCATACTATAATCACATACACTATATTGTAATTACATATATTATAACCACATACAACTATGGCTGCTTTCCTTTTAGAAGACACAAATGAACACAAATTGACACAGATTAACACATTTGAGTACAGTGTGTCACAGTTAAATGGAACGCGATCTGCACTATGTGAATAACAATTTTAACTTAACCTAACCTAATCTAATTTAACCTACAAATTTTATTGTCGAAAGGTAATACGAGTTACAGTGATAATACAGCATTAAAAAAGCAATTTAAAAATTTCTCAAGCGCGCGTGATGTATGCATATAATATATATTCTTTATATATAAATATTTATATATATATTTTATGTGTTTATATATTTTATTTTATATTTTATCTTATATTTTATTTTATATTTTATATATGTATATTCTATATATAAATAAATATTTTTATTAGTTAAAATATAAAAATACGATTTTATTGTTATTTACTTATATTTTATTGTTTTCTTGTTATTTTTACTTTTTNAAAAATAGTAAGATTCCAAGAAAAATTAATAATACAATGTTTATTATATATGTTATAACGTATATGTAAACTGGATAAAGAAATAAATTAAGAGTGTACATATATTTTTATATGATTATTAATATATGTTTGTTATTTCCTGAAGATGAATCCAATACTGAATCTTTTGATGGAAAACAATGGTAGTAGCAGTAGCAGCAGCAGCAGTAGCAGTAGTAGCAGTGACAGTAGTACAGAATTTTCAACAGATGATGATGAATATAATCATGACATTTTGTTTCCAATTGTTCAAATACTGCTAGCTGGTCGTAAAAGACATCGAGTGGATAATTACATCGACGTTGTACATAGCCTGACGGATGCAGAATTCAAAGAACACTTCAGATTACATCGTAATATTGCAATGACATTAATCGGTATACATATAAAAATTATTTATTAGATTACACATTTTGTCACCGTCACAAATGTTAATCTATTTTACATATTTCATGAACATATAAAAAATAATTCCATTTTTTTCGATTTTCTGTTTTTGATATTATTTGATATAAAATAGAATNNTTTAATTATTTAAAGCAAAAGAGAGAAATTCTTGACAAAGATATAAGTATATTTATACGTTACAAAACGTGTACAGAAAACTATATGAATGTTTTGAACTTTTAAAACTAAAAGTACGAAAATGTGACTTTAATAAGTTCTTCTCTTGTAGTCTTTATATGTTAAAGAAGGCAATTTCACAGGTTTACAAGTTAAAAAACACAAAATAATAAGAAAATAATAAAATAAAGAGCATATCTTACATAAGATACAAATAACATTTTACAATACAATTTAGTCTTTTTTACTATAGATATTTTATATCTGTCAGAGATATAAAATAGTTTATAGTCTAAGACTTCTTTGCCTTTGACATATTTATGAATTATATACGCAATTTTTGTGTGATCTTAAATATCAAATAGTTGATTATATTTATTTTCTTTATTGTTATTATTTTAATCAAGTTTACTTTTATAAACTTTCTTTTTATATTTGGATTTTTAGATGAACTTGCAGAAAGCGGAATTCTGCCATCACATTCATTTGGTCGACCAAAGATAACCGCAGAATGGAGTTTACTTATAACACTATGGTTTCTTGGTAACACTGAACCATATCGTACTTTATCAGACAGATTTAATGTATCTATATCATCGATATTTCGAGTTATTCGGCGAGTGATTAGTTGGATTCAAACCAAATTAGATGATATAATCAAGTGGCCAGAAGGAGAATCATTAATTGCAGTAGCTCAAGGCTTTCAAAATAAGAGAGGAATTCCAAATTGTATTGGGGCAATAGATGGTTCACATATCATTGTATCACAGCCAAAAGAAAACACTGCTGATTACTGTAACAGAAAAAAACATTATTCGATAATATTACAAGCAGTTGTTACATCCAATATGCGATTTACAAATATTTATTGTGGTGAGCCTGGATNACTTCACGATGCTAGAGTATTACGGCGGTCAAGTCTTTATTGGGAATCAGAAAATAATAGAAACAGACTATTCCCAAACAGAACATTTATATTAGGTGACTCTGCATATCCATCCTTATCTTGGTTAGTACCACCGTTTAAAAATAATGGTCACCTCACAGCACAACAAATTGAATTTAATTTTATACATTCATCTACGCGCATGGCAGTAGAAAGAGCTTTCGGTGTTCTAAAAGGACGTTTTAGGCGTTTAAAATTTTTTAACGAATATCAAGATATCNAATTTGTAGTTGAAATAGCTGTAGCAAGTTGTATTTTACACAATATATGCATTGATGCTTTTGATGATGGTATGGATTTATATGATGAAGATAACGGTTCAGATATTAATATAGATATAAGAGAAAATAATGAAAATGAAGTAAATAACGATCGAAGATCAAGTTTATTTTATGAAATGTTTCCACAGTGAACAAAAATAATTAGATAAAAATAACTATAATATTATTATATTTATAATGTAACACTTATTTGTTGTACTTTTAGAAATAAAATTACTTTTATGCAAACTCCTACATACATCTGTAAATTATTGTTACCAAAAATAAAATTTCTCAGTGCATTTGCTTATAATCTAAANAAAATTTCTTGAGAAGCATTTGCATAAATTTGCAAATACATTGTACTAAATAAATGTACTATATAATAACTTTTGATGAAAAAAACTTATTAAAAATACTAATAAATCAGTTCTTATTATTGAAATGAGATCACTTTGAAAACTCTTAAACACTTTACTAGTTCAGTAACGATATGCAACTTTTAATAATACTAAAATCTCTATGGAAATTGTTGTTAATCTAACAAATATATATNTCTATAGTTATATTGAAAGTATATATACTTTTCAGTTGAATCATATAAAAACATTTTAGTAACTCTTATATAAACTTCTCAGTTAAATAATTTCTTTTAACAAAACAAATCTTTTTAAAAGCTACAAATATATTATGCTCTGCTCTTAAAGTAAAATAATCACAGTAATTATTATATAATAAAATAAACAAAAAAATAAATTTAATTAATAGTACTTTTCTTACTTTTTAAATGAGAGCATATTATTAATAGAAAATGGATCTTTCGATTCTACTAACTGTTTCAATAACTGACATTTTTCATTTTCAATTTTCATTCGTTCTCTATGTCTCTCTTCTTTTTTGTTCATTTTTCGATTTATTACCGCTTCTTTCCACAATAACTGTCTTTNTTTTAATTGTAATTTCTCATCTATTTTCTTTAGTTTTTCATCTTCTTTCTGAGTTTTTGTAGCTAATACTTTAAGATGTTCCAACCACTGCTTTTCTAATTCTAGTTTTGTCTTGGCAACATATGTTGCAGATCCACATCGACTTTTCTTTCTTTTTTCAGAACGTAATGTTTCAAAANATGATGTTTCAGTAATTTCAGAAAGTGGTGTTTCAGAAGGTACTACCATATTTAATGATTCCTGCTGGCTTTCAATTCTTAAAATTTTTGTTGGTACGGATTCAGATGTAGACGGAGACGCCTGTTTTNTTATTACTGTCGATGATGTTTGCTGATCAGATTCGACAAATGAAGATGATTTTATTTTGCTTCCAAAAAATGAAGAATCGATGACATGATTGCAATTAATATTTTTTCGGCGTCCAAACATATCTTCNATTTCCTCAAAATAAGCAAATGTCATTGGACTTCTTCCTGATTTGGAATTGTTGTCCACACATTCTTTATACTTTTTTAAAAGTGCATTAAATTTCCATCTGGCCTGATCAGCAGTCACCTGAAATAATATTCATAGTTTTGTTTTATATCGCATCGAAAATTTTAATATGCATGTAAAAAGCAATTATACTTACATCATATTCTAATTTTTGTAATTCTTTTGCAATATTCTGCCAAAAATTTTTATATTTTTTTACATTTTCTTTATCAGGTTGCATAATGTTATAGGCAGCTAATAAACCTAATATAGCGTTGTGATTCCAATAAAATGCTACAATACATACATTAAATACTACACAAATCTAAATATACACTTTAATATAAACTTAGAAAACTTATTATAATTACAATTACTTGAAAATACATTTCAGGTTAAAAAGAAAATTTTAGAGAGTATACTTACGTTCATCTTTTCCAACCTTCTTAAGTGGCTTGCACTTATGATTGCAATACGCCTCCATATCAATAAAGATGCCATCACAAGTGGGACATTCGCAAGAAAGATCCTATACAATCAAGTTAATAAAAATTTATATATAACCTTAAATATAAGATAATAACATCTTAATGTAAAATATAAAATAAACGATTATAAAGTACCATATAATTCTTACCATTCTGTTGTTGTCAGCTTTTATTATTATTTTATTGTTAANAGCAAGTAATTTTAATTTTATGTATAATATGTACAAATAAAATATTTGAAGCTGGTTTGAGCAGATATATGCGTTTAGTCGGTCAAAAACACACTTAANCACACTCTGACTCTCCTCCCGAGAAGAGTCGAAGTGTGTCGATTGAGGTCGATCACAATTATAAATGGAAAGCGACGTGTGGCGATTTGTGTCGGATGTGTCGACTGTGTCTCCTAAAAGGAAAGCAGCCATAGTTGTATGTGGTTATAATATATGTAATTACAATATAGTGTATGTGATTATAGTATGATGGTTCTCGTCGTAGTGTAACGTCATTGCGGACGACGGTTGTCGTCGTAGTTTACCGTCATTTCGGACAACGGTTGTCGTCGTAGTTTAACGTCATTGCGGACGACAGTTGTCGTCGTAGTGTAACGTCATTGCGGACGACGGTTGTCGTTGTAGTTTAACGTCATTGCGGACGAGATGGAGGTAAAAATGTCGGGACGTGACAGTATTTTTAATGGTAGACTAGTCGGCCATTTCTTCATTGAAGGCAATTTGACAGCACAGATATACACAGTCATGCTTTGCGAGCAAATTGTTCGAGCTATTTGAGACATAGCTGGTGGAAATACGGATGAAATTTATTTCCAACAGGATGGAGCTTCACCTCATTATGGTGTCATTGTCCGTCAATATTTGAATGAGGTCTTTCAAAATAGGTGGATAGGACAAAGTGGTCATTTAGTGACCACCTCGGTCTCCGGATGTGACCCCATTTGACTTTTCTTTGTGGAGTTACTTGAAAAGTAAAGTTTATGCCACCAAGCCTCAATGTTTACTAGTTTGTACATTATGGCCATGAGTGAAAATAAACAATTTAAATATCTTGCAAACCAAAAAAAAGTTACCGAAAAACGGTTGTATTCTTTATTCTATTACTTAGATGCAAAATATCACGGAATAGAAAATTAATAGATTTAATTATTTAACCAATAGCTGGTTACCAACAATAGTTAGACAAAACACACTGGTATTGTGCAGTTTTTTACGCTGAAGACGATGGTGCAAACCGTTTTTTTGTATCTCGTTTAGTTTCTGAAATCCTAAAGTTGCAACTTACGGGTTGCCGCCTGGTTCTGATCTGAGTTACTACACTGATGACTAACGGTAACATAAACATGATGCTAACTCATGCGGTTTGATAAATTACTCGGAAACTTGGTTTTTGGCAATTGTTAATTTACCGACCGTGGCAAACGTTTAAGTATGGTACAATGATGGTACTGGTACTATTACCAACTATGGTATTTGAAAGGAACGGTAGGTATTAGTAGAACCCGTTACCGGCATGAGTTATCTCTTAACTTTGTGTCTTACGGCTTATTTTACTGTACTCGCATCTATTTAAAGTTTACATGCTATGGTCAAGAAGCGCAAAGCCTAAAGGCGGCGTTTTTAAAGAAGATTTGGTAATTATGCAGTTATACGGACTATTTTCCGATCTCAACAATTTTGACATATGTTATCAAGGTCACCTCTCTGAAAAATAATATGAAGGTTTTATCCGTCGCTCATTGTTTATAAAAAAGTTATGAACAAAAAAAGTTTGATGATTGAACTCTCGTTTTAAATATAAAAAGATAGAAAAAATATAGAAAAAATATAGAAAGATTTTGGAGAGATATAAGAGCAAA